CACAGAAAGCTCTGCCACTCATAACTGAGGCCTCCAAAAATGTTTTGTGTATTTGTATAATAGGCAATACATCAAAATAAGCCTATTTTAAATATTGTACATGGTTAACAGTTTGTTGATAGCTAAAATCACTGTAACATCTGGTATGTCCCTACACAGCTTGTTGTAAAGGTTTTGTTGTTTTGTTTTAAAATCAGAGTTATGAATGAGATCATGAATGTTACAAGGGAGAACAAGTTGTGCATGCACTTCGGTACTTGTTACCCTGGAAACAAAATGGTTTTTGCATGATAAGAAATTTTTCTGCCTTACACAGTAGACAATATTTGAAGATTTAGTACAAAAACAGTGACAGTACAAGATGCTCCCCAGAACAGAATTAGCATCAAAATATAATAGACCTTAAGAATATACCTCTTAATTTCTCCTAAAGCAAGTCACATAGGTCGACTCCTACATCAGTCCTAGCCATGGGGTGAGTTAGATTAAAGTAAGCGTATGGCTGAGTCAAACACAAGGTAACTTCTTGCTTCCTACTTATCACACTTTAATGTAAGGATTACAAACGAGGTTCGTCCTACACTTCTAACAGAAGAATGCTACTTTAAAGGGGTTGTGCGCAAAGAGGCACAGTTTTTGCTGCCATCCTTCTATACATTTGGCACTAATGTAAAAAATACGTAACTCCTCTAAGTAGCACTGAATCGAAAAGGGGGTTCAGACCAGAGCCCAGTACGGGTGTTACTTTTTGTCTCCAGCATAGCGTATGACGTAATTAAGGCCACATCAGTACATCTTTAGGGCTCCCCTCCACCTGCAGGTGCTGTATTGATTGGCTTGCTGCTTTGGAGGAGGACTTTAACCTTCGATGATCTAGCTCTTCTAGAGCTCTGTGTGCTGTAGAGGAGGTGATTCAGCTAATAGCATTTTCTGTTTAGATAGTTAATAAAAAGTAAAATTATCAAGGTTAGCTTTGTACACTGCTGAATAACAAATGCAAAACCTACTCAAATGAGTTACATCTGGGAACAAATATTAAGTCACCCTGGATGTTTTAATAACAAAAGTATAAAATATTCTCTGTTGGCAAACAATATGTGTCAGAATAACATTAAAGCAACCTGCCTTTTCTAACTGAAAAGACCTCTGGCACTATACATAGCTCCTGTATACAATACTTTTTTTTTTTTAAACTAAAGCTTTATTAAATGAATTGCAATAGCAATGGCTGCCTGTTTATATATATACACATCATATAGGTGCATATATATGTATATATATATGAGATACTAAGTTATTTAACACAATAGAGGCTTCTGCCATATGATAGTTTACTGTACATAAGAAAAACTTTTAATACTGTACAATCACATAAAGGTCATATGCACTGTTGCAGTGCGAGAGTAGTTTTAACTGTAGTCTTGACTGGCATATTAATGGCTTTTTTTTTGTAATCTAGAAAATTGCATTCCCATATTATGTGGCCTGAATGGTCTCTGAATTGTTTTACAAACACTGCAGGGGTCACCTTTGGTCCACAGTTAAAGGACACTCAACAGCAGTGGAGTATTTTATGGATGCAGCAGAAGAATGTAAAAAGACTGAAGTTATTGCAATTATATTTAAAAAATTGAGAAACATTATGTATGAGGCCTTTATGTCAATTAATCCTGCATATGCTCTTGGTATATTCAGTGCACATTTCCTATACTTGAAGTACAGTATATGAAAAGCAGACTAATAGGATCCTAGAATACTATATTCTGGGGGAACACGTTGAGTAATGAAAAAAATGGAGGAAAATTTATGAGAAGGAAGCGAAGAAAGAAAGAAATAGGGGAGAGGAAGGAGGGAGAAGGCGGGAAGAAAGAACTAGAATTGTTACTAATAATCCTGATTTTTTAAAAAGTTACATCCATGTTAGTCCCACAATATTACAGTCGCTCCTGGCCGAGGGAGTCCTAAGAAGAATCAGTGACGAGGAGAATTGGTTGGCTGCTCATATGGAGGTGCCTCGGTCAGGGTCGTTCCCCAGATTGAGCCCCAGGGTGGGAGTTGGTTGGTAAGGAATGGATGACATTGTTTTTATAGGACTCCTGAAAAAGCCCCCGTTGGGTGCCCTGTGCCTAAACGGGCCAGTTCGGTGCTCAGGCACATTGCCGAAAGCAAAACCAGATGCAGCCTTAGCGGACAGCGTGCGGCTGAGGGTCTGGATCTGCTCTGGGATAAAGGTTGTGGTGGTGATGTGAGTGTTCCTGAAATCACTGATCTGCTCCAGTGCTTGGCGTGTTGGCAAAGTGTCAATGTCCAGAGGGGTCAAGTCAATTGACGAGGTGGAAAACTGTTTATGGGGGCTGTCGTCATCTGTGCACAAGCTATTTACACGTCTATGGAGGTGCTCCAGGTCAATTTCCTTGTCATCCTGGAGATGAAGAGAAAGAAAATAAGGTTCTCATCAGTACTAGCTTCCATGGTAGAAAGAAAAAAGTAGTTCAGCAAACATGTAATTAACTGAACTGTTGGGTTTGTTCATTTAACAAATATTTACTGAGCACCTAATGGGAGCCAGGCACTGTACTAGCTTCTGGGAATACCAGTGTGATGGAGAGACAAAGCTACCTCTGATAGCAATCTTTCTCGCAGTGAAAGGTCAATGTGAGCAAATGTCACATGCAAGGAGAGTGATAGAGTAGCTGTAGGTGAGTATCACCATTCTACAAAAGCCCGGCCTGAGGAAAACTGCTCAAATAAAGCCTGTGGTTTCAGCAGCCCACCCAGCCCCCTCGGCTTCTTTTTATTTCACATTTCCTCTTTTTTTTTTTTTTTTTCCAGAGTGTCATTCTAAGTTATACTGTTGTTCCTTTCCATCACTTACTCCTACCCTTTCCATGCTTGGAAGAGAGGGATAGGGTGTGCTATTTCACACTAACATGTGAATGCCTAGTGAAGTGTTGTTTCTTGAGGGCTCAAGAGGTGTATAAGTTTTTATTCTTTAGAAACAGCAACAGTCAACACAAGAAAATTAATTTCTAATTAAGGAATTTCATATACATCTGGCATCTCAAATCTGAGTCAGGTGAATCCGTGAGGTCAATGGGACACTTAACCCTTCGAGTCTGAGCATAGGAGCCCCCCGTAGCTTTAATTCAGTATCAAGTTTACTCTAAATGACTTTAAACCAAAGATTCTTTAAGCTATGCTAATGATGGTTTTGTAAGAGCGTGATTAACAAACAAAAGGGAGATAAAACCTCAGATTTTTAGAGCTAAAACCTACTCATAAATCCCTTAAGGTTTTCTCTCAAAGACAGTAGTAAAACCCAATACCTGAAAAATTAAAACTGGCAAGAAGCAAAGTTGTCCTTGTTATCCTTCTTATTTATATCAAACTCAATGAATTAAATCTATGAGGAGTTAAAAATATTTATTAATCATAAAAAGAGAGAATGTTGCTCAAAGGTTCCGGATTAACTGTCACGAGTTAGAATGGAGTATACACATTTTTCTTCATGCTATTAGAGGGCTTTTCTGAGAAAAAATATTTTGATGTGCATCACTGTTTTTTTATTCTCCTTTCTCGTTTTAAAATCCAATAAAAATATCCATTAATGCAGTATTATCACTAAGACTTTAGGGGGTTGAGACATATAATTTTATGGTTCCCACAGCAACTGTGATATAGTCATCCATCAACAGATATAATAACACAAAATTTAATATCATATAGAGTAATTCAAAATATAAGGAGCACAGGGAGTTGTTAATTTCCAGATTTTTGGGACTATGAAATCTCCACTATAATGTTGTATTAAGGGGGTCTTTTGCATTGAATCAATGTCAACAGAAATCCCAGAAACTTATTCAACAAAGAAAACAATACAATAAAGCCCAGTTAATTTTTAATTCATCCTCCACTTATTTAGGATGTATGATCATTCACACAAGGTAGCAAGCTACATTTATTGTTGTAAAACCACACTTTCGTTAGAGATGGTGCTAATAAATTTTGCATGCAAGGTACGAAGAAAGAACCCTTACTCTACTTTAGAAAACAATCTGTTTGAAAGAATAGATTAATATGTGAAAACCCACATGCAAATAAGGTGGCATTTTCATTTGTGCATTGAAGCACAAGTTCTCAGGATTTGCCCTAGGCAGCCATGAGCCAAGTTCTACTTACAGAAAGTTCAATACTTGCTTTGAAACTATCCATCAAGTCAAATCATTTAACAAATTCAGGTTGTTTTTCATTTCAACTTCTAAAGCTCTAGTGAATCTAACTTCATTATTTAAAATTTTTCACAATTTTTGCCCAGTGGAAATAAGATAAATGGATCAAGTAGTTTACGTTAGCTTTATATCTTCCCAGATAATTTATCACCAAAATATTTGTGACAAAAGCAAGACACACGACTCTTTAAAAGAGATGGTGTGTGTAATTATGTAATTTTTCTTTTAAATATTTGGAAAAATTTTAATATGATCCACGAGTTAAACTGATTCAAAGTAAAGGAAAAAAGTGGAATTCTAGGTGACTCAGTAACTCTAGGGTGATTATAGATCTACGCTGACAGAGAGAAAAGCAGTTACTAACATTGAAGATAAAATTCTCCTTATTTTAATTATAAAATTGAAGTTTTAAAGCCTAGTATTAGTGACATTAGTATTAGTCAAGTGAATAATTGCAGTGGTAAGTACCTTTGTGAATTGCTCAAGGAAACTGTGACCCTTAAAAATCACTGAATTCAAGTTTATCCTGAGATCTGGGAGCATTTCAAAGCTATTACTGCACATGAAATCGACAACTTTTCTAATATTACAACCTACTCTTCTCTCTTCTCTTATCTGATGTGAGCTACGGTGGACATTGGCATTGGCCTCACCAATCTTTGCCTGTCATACATTTAATTTGATCCTCAAAGAAAAAAGAAATAATGGCCATCCATGACTCACTGTCCCCTCCCCTGTGACCACCCAACCTGGACACATGGGTTCAAGTACCTCTTTGGATGGGACGCGGGAGCCCTTCCTCTTGTTCCACCACGTCTCCAGCATGGCTATGAGGCAGGAGAGAACAATGCCTGCCGCCAGGATACAGAAAACTCCTGCAAAGCTCTTGATGTCCAGGGCACCTCCTTTCTGCTTTGTGTCTACGGAGGAGTACAGGTCACACTGGCCATTCTTGGGCCACCATTTGTGCTTCAGGATGTCCATGTCTCCACTCTGCTGAAGCTCCAGGATCCTTAAAGGCAAGAACACAACTGCATGTTACTGTAGACATGGCCACTGCTTTGGTCCACGACACCTCTGACAGGACCCCACCTCCACAGGACGATGCTGTTGGGTGGAAATGAGTCTGTAGATCAGGCTTTCGAGGACAGCTTGGAAACTCAAATCCCTACCAGTACTTTGATTCTGTAGATGGAGTTGTGGCGCCATGCTTTTTGTCCCCATTTTTTAATCCCTGCCTCCCACTTTCCTTCTTCCCTTCTTTATGTTCTCCTCTACTTTTGGTTTCATTCTACAACTCTCGATGTTTCTCCCTGGTTCCTGGCAGTGTGTATTCACAATTACATTTCAGGGCCCCTCTTCTGATGCAGTTTCAAGCTGCTGCAGTTCTGTGTTTCTTCCCTAAAAACAGAACTATTCCCTGGACTGTAATGCTTTTATGAGGGGCGTTTCATTGCTTAGAGCGAGACTCTGCCATAATGTCGCCCGGCATATGGCACACACACAGAAGTTCAATTAAAAAGACTTCTATTATTTAACACAGTGTGGGAGAAAGCCTTGGGACAAGTTTGAAGATGATAAAAATACATCAGTTTTGATTTTTCATACAACTGATCTAGTTTTCTTTTTAACTCTAAAGGCAAAGTAGTGTTACCTTGGAGAATGAGGGGAAAAGCTGACCAGGGGCATTCAGAAGTCACTAAATTCAACTAAGAAACACCCTTCCTCTTCACTCCCTGCCTAACCCAAAGTTTGGGAGTCAGCACAGCTTCAAAAAGTATGAAGTTCTAGAGGAATTATTCTCGCTTCCATTCTACCTGAGACCTGCCTTTCTGCCATCTTCTAGAAATGCCTCTTGTCACTGGCAAGAGTATGTCCTGTTCACAGGTGCGTGTCCTCAGGTTTCTCTGGGGCTACCTGGCCCAACAGTGTAGGGCCATTAAGCCTCTTCCTGTGGATTCACTCCTTTGAGGCCTGAGGTTGAACCCAAAGCCTTCACATGGAGCTACATCGCTGGCCCTTGTTTATAGATATACTTTTTTTTTTAAGTTGTTAAATTATCCTGGATGGACTTTCCTGTCACAATTTGACATCTTGGCTACCTCTTTTGTCACCTAGTTCACAATATGTAATGCAACTGAGAAGCCCAGTGAACATAAAGTGCCCTGACTCTGCATGCAGTAACAATGGGCTCCACCTACCATATTTCCTGATGACTGGACCTTCCAGCCATCAGGGTACCATAGAGCAGTGTTTGGAGAGAGTGTAGACAGAGTGTAGATGTGGAGCCCAGATACGCACATCTTTTGTGGAAGATACTTTCCTGTACAAGACTGAGTTGGGCATGAAAGGACCCCGGGGCTGGGTCCCTGTGCCTCTGGGTCAGGGCAGGGTCGTGGCTACTTGCAAATGAGACAGTTTAACCTGACCTCCTAGGGTCATGAAAGTATATTGATTGAGATGAGCACTGTTATGGTTTGTGTTTAGATGTTGCCCCAAAACCTTATGTGGCCACGGGAGGCAGACTTTTCAGAGGAGTCTGGGATCAAGAGTGTGTGATAACTAAACCAACCCACTGATTGGTTTGGCACAGTTCTGGCTAGGATTAAGGGGATGAGTGCTACACCTGCCTTGGGGTGGATAGCCTGAGTACAACAAGTGACAGAAATAGACATATCCTCTCTCCTTTGTTTTTGCTGTTCTGTGCACACCATGAATTGTTTCTCTTCTGCAATGCCCCTCCGCTACACCACCCTGCCTTGGAGCCAGTTTATTATGGACTGAAACCTCTACAAACTGTGAGTTAAATAAACCTTTCCTCCTTTAACTTTGGATGTTGGGTATTTCATCTCAGCAATGAGAAAACTAACTAAGACAAGCACAGAAGAGTTTTTAGCTTGATTTGTAATTTTCACATAATAAGACTAATGACATATAGTTTTACATTTGTACTCTTGCCCTGGGTCTTACATTCTATGAGAATGGGACTTCAAAAGTTTAGAGAGAAGAATGAAAATAATCTGGGAGGAGTAAATCATTCGGTGTTGGTGGGAGGTAACCTTTTTACTTGTTTCATGTCATGTATATGGCTGGAAGAATGAGCAAAATGAGAAAGAGAAGGACATTTTATACACTGGCATGAGACTAGCACTGAGTTAAAGAACAGTGAGAGAAGCCTGGGGCTGAGACAGAGCCGGCTTCATCTTTAGGATGAGGCTGCACTGGAGCCTCTCCCACAGCATGGCTGTTCCCTCTTGCTCCTCCTCCTCTTTCTCCTCCTCCTCTGCCTCATCCCTGGCCTCTGCCTCGTCCTCCTCTGCCTTTTCTTCTCCGCCTTCTCCTTTGTCTTCTCCCCTTCCTTCTCCCTCTCTTTTTCTGTTTTTTTGTACTGGAGAAAGTATCCAGGACTTTTGCACTATGCTCCCTCCCCAGTCATTTTTAAAACTTGTTTTTTTAACTTTTTTTTTCTTGTTCCGGGGATTGAATTTGCCACCTCATGCTTGCCAGGGAGGCACTCATGCTGCTGACCTGGGGTCTTGTTTCTTACTTTTTAAATCCCGGGGTCTTGTTTCTCACTTTTTAAAACACAAATACACAAAGCAAACATTCTGTTACCGAGCCACATCCCCAACACTTTAAAAAAAGCTGAGACAGAACCTCACTAAATTGTTAAGTTGCTCAGGCTGGGTTTGAATTTGAGACCCTCCTCCCTCTGCCTCCCAGAGTGCTGGAATTATACCTTTGGCCAGCTCTCCTTATAGCTTAGGAAACTGAACTTTCTAATGCTGTTGCTTCAGAATGCTGCTCTAATTTGCGAGTTAATTAATAAAATTTTCTAAACTGATTATGAATAATAGGATTTTATGCCATTCATACTCCAAGGTCTATCCCTGATGAATTCATTTTCATCTCCAGACTTTCCAAAAGCATATTTCAGGTCATTAGTACCCAGAGAGTCACTGCCAGAAAATGGCTTCTTAGGCCCTGAGTTTGAGAAACACATTTCTGGAAACTGACAAAGATGTCAGCCTGTTTAGTTCCTAAGAAGACTGGAAGAAAAGAAAATCTGCATGATTTTGTTTAACTCATCCTTTGCCAGATGTGATTTAATTCCCTTCCCTCATTTTCTCTCCCAGTAACATATTAATAACCTGTGAAGCTACAGTTTGAGAAATACGCTTGAGAAATACTCCTTGATCTAGAGAAACACCTACATGTGGGAATTCCTGGCACTGTCTTAGGATCATACAAACATGCAGTCAGAGGCTCAAAGTTACTTGCTTGGCCTGGTCACCTGTAACATTGAAATGATTATTGGACTAGTAACAGATTGACATAAAATTTCATTTACGGTGAATCAGTTCTAGATAGCTGCCTTTGGCTAAAAATATTACCCTTAAAACTTTGTAATGGGTTAGATGAGAACTAACTCATGTAAGGGTCCATATAATAACAAAATAATGGCAAATCATGCAGATATTTTCCTATCTACAGGTACAAGGTAGTCAGTGACTATCTTGAAGAAAAGCTTAGTCACTGCTAAACAAATTCTTAAATTTGAATGCAAGTATCTGTCGATATGAAAGGAAAGTTCAGCAAGACTTGCTTAATGTAAATACAGCTCTTCAATATCAGCAGGGAACTGGTTTCACAATCTTCACTCAAGTTCTTTCCGTAAGTAGTACAGTTCTTGCATATACGCTCTGCACGCCCTGCTTTTTATACTTTTAATTATCTGTAGATTACTTATAATACCTAATACAACTCAACACTAGGCACTCAGAATATACAGTGAATGTTTAGATGTTTAAAAATGTATTACAGCTAATGCACTGCAGGCCAAAGCCCTGTGGATACAGAGCTCGTGAGCTGCAGGGTCCCTGGTCAGACTCCGAGTGCCTATACCTGACCCCTGGAACACAGCCTAGCATTAGGTAAGTGTCAGAGGGATGAAAAGGATCCTGAACCCAAAGGGGTTGTCACAAAATTTTGCTACAAAATGTCAAGTCCTGTGCTCCCAGAAATGCCAATACAAAAGTCTAACCATACCTTCTGCTTTTATTACTTGCTATTTCAACAAAAGTTTGTTAATTTTGTTAAATAATTTTATTTTGTTAATAAATACAGATCAACCAAATTTAAAGATTAGGCAAAGAAAGACTGGTAAAATATAATGTACTGCAGTGAGGAGTGACAGAATGAATTCTTGCAATAAATAAGATGTGTTCTCTTCAAATGTCAGTGTGGCTCGGCCTTATCAAGTGCAGTGTAAAAACCCAAGTAAAACACATAGAGGAGAACTTTACCCTTTGATTGTAAAGCACAGTGATGTATATGCATAACAGTGCAGGAATCTGGTTGCAAGTTTCTCAATGAAGGCAAACGTTTTTTGGCATCGTGGGGCGATAACTTAATTTGTTATGTGTGCAGTGTCCACAAGATGACAGTGTTTGCCCACAGAAAGCAGAGTAATTGTGGTGCCTTTACCTACGCGCTTAGAATGTGCAGACTTCCTGGTGCTGTAGACGCTTAAACCATAACAACAAAACTAGCTGCTGGACTGTGGTAAATAATTGGATGCCTAAAACCTTCCCTTGAAGTATAGTCAGAAAAACTATCGCCATTTTTACCCTTCTTGCTTTTTGCGGCTCTGTGGTGCGCGCTAAAGGGGCCACACATAAGTAGTACTTTGCTAGTGTGTAGAAGCTGCTGTCACTTGAAAGCCAGCGTTGTCATTGTTAGTGTGTGTGACTGCTGTTCTCTCTTTGGCCCTGCTCAGGTGTATCTTTCCTAATGGAGAGTTATATCCTCTATGAATCTGTGAATGATTGACTCACTGACAAGGGCACTGCCTTTCATTCTGTTGCAAAACCATTACAAATTTTTCAATCTCATTGAACAGAAACTGTTTAGAAGTCTCTAAATCTGAACTAGATTTTGAAAATGGTTAATAGATCAAACCTGCACGCATTGAATTCTTCATTGATGTAAATAAGCAAATTTCAGGAGAAG